ATAAATGTTTATGTATTTTCTTTCCTTTAATATAATATAATGTGTCTCTTTAAAAAACTGTAGACTTTAAATATCAATAAACATCTACAAGTTGAACGGTTTTGCAATTAAAATGTTGCATTTAAAATCATTTAATTTTTACTTTCATTCCTTTCTTATCGGTAGAACTTAAAATATATTCAAAGTTATTTTAAGAGCACATTGTATTATTAGATACAATACATCCATCTATATCACATATAGAAACAAAGCACCATAATGCAAGGAATAATCATAAGTGAAATACATACATAGATTTGAATTTACAAGCTATTTTTCTGCGTTTTTTTCTCCAACACCATTAAAAACGTTAATAGCTAGTAAATATGCTTTACATCTATTTTATTTTTATTTTTTTTGTAAAATATCCGTAACACATTTAAATATCCTGCTTTAAATCATGTGTATCATAAATATTTTTATACTAAAATGAAAATAAACAAATGAAATCATCTATTTACACTCTGAAAACCGTTTCCAACATAGTAGTTCTTGCTTTCCAAAAAAGATACGTCATCATTGTTTCAGCATCACCACCTTACACTTCTTATCGTTTGATCTTATGTACGTAGTTGTACAATATTTTTTTTTTATAAATCCAACATTCTCAAGAGAACCAGTTTCATTCATGAAATTTTGCATCATTCTATTTGAAGCAATTCTTGAGTTGTGCATGGTATTAATTTTGATCTTATCTGTCTAGCTAATTTTTTAGAAGGACCTACAACCAAATCATCGGTAGGTATTACAAATTACAAATATATTAAAAAAGGTATGGTAAAAAATAATGCAAATGTATAATATAATTACACATTTATTTACATTGATATATGACACTTGTTTTGGCTTTATCATTTCATGACAACGATATGCTTGAGATTTTTCAGCTTTTCAGAATTGATATTGCTCGTTAAATTTGAATTTAATAAACGCTTGACATCCAACTCTACATATTGATTTGGTTCACGTTGTCTATTTGGTAAGTTGTTCCACTTTTCCTTCCTAAATCCCTCTTTTCGACATATCAATTTCTTTGAAATTATGTGACCATCACTTCGACTTCTTACCGTTGAATCCATTCGATTTCCAAAACCTTTAACTTTTTCATAAGTATAGTAGAACTCAACACAATCATCCAATGACTTCCACTTGAGCATATCCATGTCATTTTCATCATAATCTTGTAGTTCCTTTCCTATCTTGTCTCATATATCCTCATTGAAGAAGTAATCAATGGTCTTGTCATAGGATGTATATTTACCATCATCGACATTAGATTCAAGTTATTCTTTTTCGGTATAAGTTTCACTATTTAGGTAATCTATTTTGTCATCTTCATTGAGATTACAATTTATCATCTCCTTCTTCTAAATCTTTCCCTCATCATCCATAATCGTTAATATGTTGCAATTTAAGATTAATGACAAAAATTATTATTAAATCGATTTAAGAATTATCAATATTAATAGCAAGTCAAACATACATATCAAAATTAATATTATATGATCACAATTAATATCCATTTAAAATTAAAAATTAATACTAATAAAAGTTAATTCTTTTTATAATAATCGATGGCAATTTATTAAAACAAATTATTACAAAAGTTTTAAGATCGATTTTTTAGCATCAAGTTAAAAATTCATGAATAAATTAAAATATTATTATTATTAATCAAAATTAAAGAATAAATTTGAAATTAATTATCAAAATAAAAATAAATTAAAAATTATAGAAAATTTAAAACCTAAAGGTCTAAAATCTAAACAGGGGAAAGTGTGAGGGGTTTGCATGCAATCTGACTATTTAAATTAAAACAAAAGTATGAGGTAGTGTAATTTAGCGATGTATATTAAAACATAAACTTACTTCGTCTAAAATCTAAATGGGAGAAACTATGCGGCGTTTCATGAAATTTGACCGTTTTAAATTAAAACACAATTATGGGGGAATAGTGTAATTTAGACATGTTTATTAAAACAGACACATGCGTTTGTCTAAAATTTATATGGAATAAATTATGGGGGTTTCCATACAATTTAACCTTTCGAAATAACACAAAAATAAGAGGAGTTGTAATGTAATTTAATCATTCAAAAATCAAACTAAACTGAAACTGTTCTACAAATGTGAAAAGGAAGGAGACGATCAACGGGTTTCTTGTAAAGAAACTTACACGCGGCGGCGGTTGAGGACTAATGAAGACTGGTGATCATGGTGGTCGTCGGCTGTTGGAGACGGACGGTCGACGATCGTGGGTTGATTTTTCGAATGTTAACGCAAGTAAAAATAATGGAAACAATCGCGGGTTGACGACCGACTTTGCAACTCCTTCGCGACGGCAAACTGGGCGATAGCGAATTAGACGACGACAACGCTGGGTTTGTTGTAAACTATTTTTAGATGAGTTTCTGGCTCAACGGTGGTACTGTTGATGGCCACCCTCAACCCTTAAACAATTTAAGAGTCTAATTCTAAACAAATTTATTTGTGATATATTTTGGTATGTCACTTTAGTGATACATTGTGGTAAGCGACGTACGATGTAGACTCTTTCAGTTAAACATATTATATCTAATACTGAATGAAAAAAAAGTATTAATTTTTAAAATTGAAAAATCCTTTTACAATAACCCTATGTATAATATTTTTGTAAATGGAAATTATTAAATACACAAAGAAATGGAAAACTATAGGCATGTATGAGCATGGTCAAGTTCTTCAATCCATTATTCTTTAATAAAAATCCATCTAATTCATAAGCGAACCCTATACTATAACTAACATTAACTAATGTATTCATATAAATTGCGTTAATCAATGTATTAAAAAATAAGACATAAATAATAATAATGAATCGAATCTCAACTCATATATGAAAACTTTTTTTCTGAATACAGAAAATTCAAGTTTATTTTTACTGAGAAATAGGGTTTAGAAAAATAACAAACAGATGAAGCTGGTTTTACTCCTTTGAATATTTCCACTTTGTCATGACTTTTGAACTGGTGAAAATGTGAGTGGCTGTTTCCTTCTTCTTCTGGTTTGAAACTGCACTTCTTGAAACTGACATTGGACCACAGATAATGTCTGTAAACCATGAGTCTGAAACATGACATGAGTAGTTAAACACACCGTGGCTAGCCCATATGTTTATGTATGTATGCATATGTATGTAATGTATGTATGCATGCACTTAGTGCAGATTTTCAGATCCTTCAAAATTAATATAGAAAATGAAGCTGAGTTGTGGTTAAGAACACTGAAAAGAACATTAAAGAAGATAATAGAATATGTTAATTTGTTCGCGTAAAACAACAAACATTCTCTCAATGTGCTGTTGTTGGTGGATTTAGTGTTAAAGTTAATATTCCCATTTCTGAAATAATAATAAATGAGATGAGGACTATGAGAAACTACATAGAGTAAATTATTGGTTAATTTATTTAAAAAAAATTAAATAAAAATAAAACAACACACATGTTTTATTAATAAATAAAAAATATCATTTTTAGTGTTATATAACATAAACATATGATTAGTCAGCATGTAATGAAAAATTATATTGGAGGACATAAAAGCGCGATTGATCGATAACATTTTCAAAGAATTAAATTTTAAAATAAAACACGATATATCAGATTATCTTTCTTGGATTTAAATTTCAAAATAAATTATGATATGTGCAACGCATCTTAAACTCTAGATTAATATATTAAGATTATGTATTGAAATAAAATTAACCCTCTTCTCAATATTTATTATTTAATGAGTCAAATTTTAAAATTTAATTAGAATAATAGTGACAGAAATATATTCAATTTATTAAAAATTATAGAATTAAAAATATAAAAATGTTTGGATATCTATTTTATACAATTGATTCAACTTAATAGTAAAACATATTATTTGACCTTCATGGATTTATAAAAAGTTGTACAACTTAATCATGTATGAACAATTATTAGATTCGGATAAGAATGTTTATGGCTGTAGGTCTTTCTTTTTACGTGGGATTGAGTTTATCATAGTTATGTGTTTATTCATGATCAAGATAAACATCGCTGATGAAAAACCAAACACAAAAACCTGAATTCAGCGGACACTTTCATCGGAACATCAAACTTCTCAAGAAATAATATAACATTAACACCCAGGTAATGCTTGCACGCACGCGTGGATGCAGCAACAGGAGATACGTCATCAGAACATTCTGATCCTAAATGCGCACATCACACTTTGTTCATATTTCCAAAAGGCCGACATTACCCGAAGTCATGTCATTAAAAGAATAAATATATTTATAAATGAGTAATTCTTTTTGTAATTTGTATCTTATCCAAAATACTTTACGCATACATGTAAAGTTTCGAACCGTGCTCCAATGTTGGTAATCAAAACTAAAATAAGATTATTAGAAATGGGTTAAGGAGGACATACCAGACTCTGCTAATGACAATTCATCTGTTGATCAAAATGAATATTATTCACCCAATACATATCCCCATTTAAAACTTGTCCAACTCTGAATACAAACATGTTCTTTCGATTCCTTTCTTGTCTACTTTCAGCTATGTTTGATGGAGGAAATGTCAAAATAGTACTGCCAATTCATTAAAGAAAATAGCAGTTTTCGACCAAGGTAGAAGGGGGAGCTTTCAGTTTTGTCCCGTGTATTTTTTTTGTCTCACCCGCATACCACCATAAAGAATAGCTTTCCAATGACCTGGAACTGAAGCCTGTATGAGCCGAACCTCTTCTTACAATAAGAAATTAAGACCTGGAATTCTCAACTCCACAAAATCCTAAACAGGACAGCTATCCACAATCCTAAACAGAATGGATAAAAGAATCGCCCAATCATACCTGCATGTATTCCAATACTCGGAAATCTCAGTTCTGAGCCCCCTTCTCAAATCATAGAAAGATGAACAAGAAAAAGCATTAGACTAGCAAGGGAAAAGTTGAGTCATCTGTAGACATACATTTTATAACGTTAAAACTTCTTAAGCATAATCTAAAGGCGAAATACAAAACAGTTCACAGACCAGAGACAACAGATGAGTAAAGAAATGAAAGCAAGTTCTAAAAGCTAGCTGTTCTTAACACTAAAGTTTACAGCCATCACCATCTGTTTGGAGGCGCAACCAAAAGGTTCTGCTGGATTTGTTGCTGCAACGGCAAAAAGAAACTTTGAGTACTACACACTAGCTTCCAGATTTTTTTCCTTCCTAAAAGTGAACTTCCATAAGCCTTTTGAAGATGGGATGTCGAATAGATCGGGGTAACACATTTACTGGAGTTGGTTTTATTTTGGGTCACGATATGAACGCAACACAAAGACCATCCAGAGAGGTTACTCTTCAACAACATTAACCAATTCATACTCAATGAGTGACAGATTGTTATCTTCCTTCACAGTGAAATTAGCAGGTTCAGCAACCTCAACACGACCCCACTTGTCCACAGCAAGCCTCATTGATCCTTTAAACATGTCAATTTTTGCATTGCGAAGAGTTATGGTAGTCCCCTCTTTCATCAAGTCCACTGCCAAAAAGAAAACGAGAAAGACAATGTTAGTTGTAACTAGAACTATGACATTCCAACAAAGAAAAGCATGATCGTTACTTTCCCTATCAGATTTTGGAATAATAACAAGATGATGAAATATTGAAATGATCGAGGAAACAAATTCATAACCACTATCAAGTAAGATATCATAGAAGAAATTTCACTCCCAGTATGGATAATTTGGTTCCATGTGCATGTGCTTAAATTTTCTTTGATACCCTGACTAGCAATTTTGGACTATTTGAGAAGATTTTCCAGACTCCAGGCTTGGGATTTATAACATCGAACTCAGAACTTGTACTCTTTTATTATGAAGATGAGGCAAATCTTTTTTTTTGTTTTTGCCTTGTAGTTTCAATCTTTCAAAGGCAGTAAGGCAAAGCATTTTACAGACAATATTGCAACAGCACCTGGCAACTGGTCAAATGACCTTAGTTGGAGGATCAACAATTTCAGTGGAAAATCAAAGTCTCCAGGAGCTACATTCCTACATATTGTAGTAGCTATTTGATCTATTGTTAGTTCTCCTTCTCCTATCCTTATGACATGTGGACAAGATGGGATATATTCAGCAAGGTTAAGAGTTTTAGTAGCTGTTTCTGGGTGAATGACCAGCTTGTATAACTTTCGTAGCAGATATATTCAGCCAAGTAGTAGCTGTTTCTGGGTGAATGACCAGCTTGTATAACTTCGCAGCAGACTATTCTGCCTTCTTTGGATATTGAAATAAAATTCAAGCACAAAAATCAAAAGAATTTCCATCTCGCTTCAAATTAATCTAGAAATAAGGGTTTTGCATCAGTAAGAAACACAAGATTAATGAATTCAATCATCAACTATAAGTAGCAGAATGCACTTGAACACCTATAACAACATCTCTTTCAGATCAACAATACACGATAATAAAGTTTGGCATCATAATAGATGCCATTCAATATCTGGAATGGTTAGATGTAAAGGAAATTTAACACTAAAACTCAGCACATGCTACAAAATATAAACAGCATAGAAGCCTCAGTCAAGTGAAAATACTAACTGTTGGAAAATAGGCCCTAGAGCCAATCATATTGGATATGGCATATTATATAAATAATGCAAACTAATCGCTAACTCAAGCGATCAAGGCTTTCCTTTATGTTAGTGGCATTACTGATTGTCATGTGCTACTAATTGGATGAGCTGATGAGCCAATGGCTCTGCAAAGAATTGTAATTGGTTACAATTATGGGATCCTTATGAATTAAAGCTGTTACCATCCATAAACATTGAATTGTGGAAACAAAGCATCAACAATGATCAAAGACTAGCCTACGTTAAATCTGTAAGCATGTGATGCATGCAACTTATCTACATTGAAGAACGGAGATACTTGGAGATGGCATATAGGTGATTAGAAAACAGGTCCACCAAACATTGCTTGCTAGGAGAACCCAATTTGGCATGGTTACTCAAGTGTCTATGAAGATGTGACATATCTCCTTGTCATTTCAAAAGCAACAACTAGCATTCATTCCATTCCCAGAAACTATAAACAACCATAATCACAGTTCACAGAATAATTTTGTTAAAGGAATTTGGCCACACTCAATCTTTTACTTCTATCCTTCAACAAGGCAATGAAAAAATACATGGTTACATCAAATACAAAGCATCTAACCAATGCCTGCATTATTTGTCTAAAAGAGAAGGGAATGCAATACAAAAAATGACCAGAGACGAAAAATTTCACAACCAAAATGCAAACAAATATATATATATATAATAATAATAATAAATAAAAAACTAAAAGCGACATTGTAAGATGCATGACAAGTGAAACCTCTAGTAACAACAAAAGTAAAAATACTACACAAATTATAAGAATATACCTTGTTCATTTCTAGCTGTAAAGATAATCATTCCGGTTTCATCTCCTACCAAGCATTCGGCAATTCGCATTTGGCGAACCTGAGGGCCATCTGCACGACCCTTCTGCAATACCATCTTTGTACTAACAACCTTGACAGTAAGAGTGTGACCACTAGTGCCCGGGAGAAGTTGGTCCACCTTAGTGAAAACAGGTTTCCTCAATGACTTTGATTCCGCCATTTCAATACCTTCAAAAACAATAACAGAGATATGTACCATCAGCAAATCGACGAGATAAACCAGATTTGAAAATTTTGTGGAGAATCAGAGCAGATGATTCGCTACATTCCACATTTAAAAAAAAAATTAAATGGTGAAACGAAATGATTTGAAACTCCAGTTGATTTTTTTTTTAACAAAATTCAAGATCCAAGCAGTTCGTTCAATAAAAAAGTCAGTCAATTTCAGCTTCCAAACGCTTTGATCTAATCAACTTAAACTTCTAACAATAATAAAATATAAGCATAATCATATTAAAAAAAATACAGATAGAACAGTAAAATCCCTAACTTTACCCTAAAATCACATATTTCGATAGAAAACAGACAGATCAGAGAAGATAATCAATCAAATCTAACGAATTGGAGTACTCTGGTTCTCGTCTATGATAATTTAACAAAACCGTAACGAGTGATAAATTTTTCAAATGAAATACAAACGAAAGAAAACAACAATTTGCAATTTGGCTCAAAAAAGGGAACAAATTAAAAGAATAGTTCGAGAATTAAAGGAATTAGGGTTTTCGAAGTTACCGATTCGGAGATCGAAAGAAAATGGGGATTAGAGAGAAAGAACGAAAGAGATCTGTGTGGGAAACGGCACTTAGAAGTTAACACAGTCAAAGTCGACTAAAAGTTTTGCTTCAATATCTATCGTTCATTTTATCCCAATTTGCAATGCAGATCGTAACCGTGCAGATAATCTAGGATAAACTACAAATCTGGTCACTAAAGTCTAAATAATATTTTATTTCGGTCATTAAACTTTCACAAGTTATGTTTTGATTACAATGGCTTGAAGAGGTTTGGCTGGCTGCTGTGTTTCCTGGTGCTGTTTTACTGGTTGTTTGTTACATGTTAACCCTAAAATATAATTCACAAAATCCACAATGAAAAGGACGGGTCTACACCAAACGTCACACATCAATGTACATTACTATAAATTAATAAATAGTTATTAGATTATGATAAAATGATCAATTTTGGTCATTAAAACTTTAAAAATTTTATAAAATGAGTATTAAACTCTGAATTTCGTTAAAAAAACACTCACATTTAACTATTGTTAAAGGGTTAATGTGACACACTAAATTAATAAAAAAATCATTTGTTCCCTTAATTATGACTAAAATTTTATTTTTTATATTTTTAATATTTTTAAGTAATAATTCCAAAATTACAAGAATAAATATATGAAATTTCCAATTTTATATTTGAAATTATAAATATATTTTAAAATTATATTTTAAAATATCAAAACAAAAATTAAATAATTGAATTACATTTTTTTTAAAATTGATTTTATTTCTGATAACTGAAATTGTTGGATCTTAAAAATTATAAATTTTATAAATATAATTACAATTAAAAATAATCATCATAATTTATATATATATATATATATATATATATATATATATTTCTATATATATTTCTGATAATTTAGAATTTAATATTTATTGTGTAACTTTTAAAAGTTTAATGTTTAGAAAGAGTACTTTAACATGATTTAATGACCATTTAAAAATTTTACCCTATAAAATTAGTGGTGCATTTCAATGTTTGGCATGCATTCTAAAATTTTCCTAATGTAAAGATAATGAAGTATAATCAAGCGAGGTAATAAGTTAAATTAGTGTTAATAATGGATTTAAATGTATTTTTAAGAGTGAGTAAAATGGACATAAAAAGTAAAAAGATAACGAACAAAAAATAAATAAATTTTAGAATGAATATTATAACTTAGGTTTAATACAAAAGGTGCCTAAATTATTTTTTTTCGTTTAGGTGCATAAATTATTTTTCAGTAATTTCAAGTACCTAACGTTACAAACATTATCATTTTAAGTGTCCGATAGTAGCGACAATTAAAAAATTCCGTTAAGTGATATGTGCCATGTTTGTGTAAATTTTAAAAAAAAATTATTTAAAATAAAAAAAGAATTAAATTATTTTTTCTAAAAATACCGATTTTTTAAATCATAAAAAACTCAAAACTTTAAAAACCTTAATTTCAATCCCTATACTCACACGGGTCGTTGTCTTTTTCACCGTCGTCGTCAATCGAATCTCCACCAATGGCATATCCATCCAACAACATAGCCACCCAAGGAACCCCTAACCAATGAACAATAATCTCAAAATCATGAAATTAAAGCAACCTGATGATTACAATGGTAACCACGATGACAAGGGCGACGATAGCTGGCAAGGGAGATGACAGTGACGATAATGACATTGATGATCATGGTCGATAAATGAGAAACTAGAGTTGGGGTTAGGGGTTTAGAGATGATTTTAGGGATTTCTAAGGATTTGAATTTTTTTAATAATTTTTAAAGAAATTAGAGTTTTTTTAAATATAATAATATTTTTAAGTTTTTTTAATATTTCGTAACATTATATAAATGTGGCACATGACATTTAACGAAAATTTTTAATGGTCGTTATAGTCAAGTTGTTTTGAGCCCCTAATCGATGAACAATAATCACTAAATTGAAGCGACCTGATGACTACAATGGTAACCACAATGACAAGGAATACGACAACCGGCAAGGGAGATGACAAGGATGATAATGACATCGATGGCCATGGTCGATAAATAAGAAACTAGGGTTGGGGTTAGGGGTTTAGAGATGTTTTAAGGGATTTTTAAAGATTTGGATTTTTTATCATTTTTAAAGAATTAGAGTTTTTAAAATATAATAATATTTTTTAAGTTTTTAAATATATTTTTAAAATTACATAAATGTGACAAAGGAACAAGCCCACCACAGTTGCCACCTGCACTAGAAGATTGTTATAATTAGTTATCAGGGACGATCAACTGTCTAGCTAGAAAATAGTACAATGTAATTAAATAAGACCTGGTTGAACGAAAACTTTCTTTTCTGAATTCTCTATTTATTCTTTCAATCTCTGTTTCTATTTTCTTTGATCATCGTTCTTCAATATCTCGGGACAACTCCCAATTCATGAATCGAAATCCCTAATTCATTTCCCCATTTTCAGCAATCCTTAATTCCTTTTTACCTTCTATAGAAATTCTCAATTTCCTTCCTTCGAATCCCAGCTCTTCTTTCCCATTCATGACAGTAACACCAAAAAATTTAAATTCCTATTTATCAGTTTTAAGTATTTTAAAAATATTTCATCATTATTACATCAAATAATTAAATTTAGTAGTTCAAGTAATTACAACTATGATAAACTTTTACATTCTTATAGGTTATATCACTCAACCCCTCAACTCGACCACAAGCTTCAATGTTCTAGATTTACTTGACATATATGTGAGTCTAAGCAAACATTTTTAATACTTGAATTTAACTTTAATATTCAATTTAATCCGTTTCGTCAGTTTTGAAAGTTCAATGATTAAAACCGGTCAAGACTTTATAAAAAATGAATGACCTTTGACGTAATTTACCCATTTATTTTTAGTCATCTTCCCCGTTTACTTTTGTATTTTTATTTTGGGGTCAATTTATGGATGTTAGAAGGGATCATCAAAGTGTAAAGACAAGTACACCGACCATCTCTTTCCAAAACAAATAGACATGTAGGAATAGGATGGAGAAGGTAAAGGCTGAGGTCGACAACAATGGGCCATCAAAGATCAAAGTTTCCTTTGAGTCGGGAAATAAGTAAGATAGAGAAGGTTGGAGAGGTAAATTGAAGGGTTGGCACTGGATAAAAAAGAAAGTGGCTTATTGTATATGTAATTAACTAAAAGGAAATACTCCTATACTGGGGAAGATATGGTTGGTCTCTCTCAATCTAATCCTAATTCCCTTACTTCTCGGGTGTACGCGCAGCCCAAAACAATAGACATGTAGGAATAGGATGGAGAAGGTAAAGGCTGAGGTCGACAACAATGGGCCATCAAAGATCAAAGTTTCCTTTGAGTCGGGAAATAAGTAAGATAGAGAAGGTTGGAGAGGTAAATTGAAGGGTTGGCACTGGATAAAAAAGAAAGTGGCTTATTGTAGTATGTGTAAATTAACTAAAAGGAAATACTCCTATACTGGGGAAGATATGGTTGGTCTCTCTCAATCTAATCCTAATTCCCCTTACTTCTCGGGTGTACGCGCAGCCACCGATTCCTCCCTTGTCGTATTACAACTGTTTCGAGTATTTGCGAGTAGCTATGTTATACGCCACTTTGATTTAAAGTTAATTTAAGATAATTTTTAACTTAAAATATTATATAAATTATAATATTTTTAGTTACAATCGAAAAATTATATTAGGATAAGTTTAGGGTCTATAACTGAAAAATTATATAAAATTGTGACATATCCGATTGTAACTGAAAATGTTATGTAACATTTTTTATCTCAAATTCAAATGTTACTTTGTTCAATATAAAAAATTACGCTATTGATAAGATTTTTGGTTGCAACCGATTTCTATTATTTTTCCTTTAATTTCTATATCACATCTTTATTTTTTTTATAATTATATCTTTATGACATGTTTATATATATATATATGGCACGTTTTATGTCGTTTGATTGTTATTTTAGTTTATCTTTTTTCTCATGGTTAAATTTTACATCGTCATGATTAAGGGTGTTCAAAAATACCCAACCCGATTGATCCAGCCTGTTGACCCGTCGACCTGAACCCAAAAACCGGGTAATTCTCTTTAAAAAAATTAACTAATCGGGTTGGCTACTCGACCCATAACTTTTTCGGGTAATTGGATCGGGTCTTTGTCAAATTTTTTATGACCGAATATACGACCCAACCCGACAGTTTATATATATATATATAAATTAAAATTATATTTTTATTTTAAATTCCTTATTTTTACATTCAAATTAAATTTAAATTCATAAAATTCTTTCTAGGTTTGTGTTATGTACTTTTAACTTAAAAGTTTTAAGTTTTAATTTTCTTAATTTTTTTATTAATTTATTAAAATGAGGTTAGAAGAAAAAATCATAATCGATTTTAATAAATTTAGTATTTATATATATATATATATATATATGAAATTTTTTGTATGAATTGTGTATTATGAAATATTAATTTTTTTTGACTTATGTGATTATTATTTCAAATTAAATAAAAGATATATAAATCGGGTACTCGTGACCCAAAAATACGGGCACTTAGGTTTTAAGGGTACCCGACTATCAGGTACCCATACTTAATGGGTCGGGTCAAGGGTCGACAAATATACTAACCGCAGAACCAGGTACCTGGTACTTCGGATACCCGAAAATGTGGGTATCCGAAGTTGAATGCCCTAGTCACGACCGAACAATATGATATTTATTTGTTGTCATGTTGATTTATCTTGCTTTGGACCCTCAGATTGGATTTAGATACGTAATTTTCATTCGTAAATAGTTTTTTTCCACTTTGCTCTATTCTAATTTTTGATTTTTAATGATCTTTTAATAGCTTTGGTCTTTTTATAGTTTCTAAACATTTATATATGCTTATATTAATGAGTTGTATTTTAAAATTTTCATTTGCGTACGAATCAATTTATCTTAGTGGTTAAAGGAATCATTATTCTTTTTAGAGGTCATAGGTTTGAGCATCATCAACTGTAACATGGTGATTGAGCATTCATTGTCAAATGAATACGAATATTTAGAACAAATACTACTTTGTAATCATTACTCTACTAAATATTGGCCGTCTACAA